GACAACACCAGCGTTATACAAGGTATCCGCGGCAAGGCGCCGGACTCGTCACAAGAGGCGTTCCTCGAAATCCAAGAAGCAGCCAGAATTTTTGATATACGGACGCACTGGTCTCCGGGACACCAGGGCATCGAAGGAAACGAGGCTGCGGACCGGCTGGCCAAAGAAGGAACGACACTGCCGGCGCGGTTGAGTCAGATGGCAACACTAGCAGGCATCAAGCGGCTTGCAAGGGAAAAACTACAGGGGCAGCACAGGAGATGGTGGTATAAAGAACGTGCAGCAGGAGCTCAAAAACAACATCGGTCTCGTCAGGCAAGAAATCGGCCACGTCAAGCAAGAGCTCAAAAACGATATCGGTCTCGTCAAACAGGAGCTTAAAGAATTCAAGGACAACGTCAAGGCCCAATACCAGCGCCTTGAAGCCCAGATCCGTCAATCCCATGCCTACATGCGGAACAACGCTTTAAGGAATCCGACTCTCCCCATCCGCCCTGTTGTTGTCTATCGCCGTGAACAAGGCATCCTTGAACCCGAACTTTCACGATTTCCCTGAAACGCGAACGAATTTTATTGCTTGAGGGATCCTCGAACGGATAGGCATCGGTCTGTGTTAGCATATCTCGCTGCTATCTACGATGTTCAACTCAGAACTACAGACTATCCTTCAGAGGATGCCAGTAGCGACGACGAAACATTCCTTGGCCGCCCCGATATTGTGGTTGAGAAGCTGGAGGACATACTTGACTTGAACGAAGATAAGTTTGATAAGTTTAGGGAAAGGCCACGCCAATTAGAAACGCGCCCCCCCTCGAAGCCTAGCAAACGCTCCCGGATTTTCAACCCCGACGACAAATCAATCCCTAGTCCACGCCGACAGAAACTTGAGCTCCGTCTGACCGACTCTGGAGATGAAAGGCTACACATTCACGATACCGGAGGCCGTCAAAGTCCGACAAGCATCGCTTCAGAAGGCTTGACCAATGCCCGTCTCGAATGGAGGACCCGCTCAACCCCTTCCTCGCAACGTCCCCGAATAAACAGTACTCAAGGGCCCGAGCCTGTATCTGCCGTATCTGAACCTCGACATGAGACAACGAAGCTTGAGGCCGAGATACCCAAGCCTAAGGACACAGTTAGCGACAGCCAGACACATGCATTCACGAGTCCGCGGGAACTTTAGGCTCTTGCCATTGAATCATGCCGATAGAGTCAATGACGTGTCTCTCGACAGAAGCCCCGACGCCCTCTACTGCCTCTTGGGCAACCCACGGGAAGCGTTCACTGCTTTCGATATTGCAGGTCGCCAAATGACTCACATCATGACCCTTCTTGTCTTCCGTCGCAGCAAGGTCCCCGCTCTCATCATTGCCTAACGAATTGGCCGCGACGCCATTCTCAACAAGGCCGCCTATGACCAACTTCAGACCGTGGCTCCGGCGTCGCCGTTGACCATGCGCCTTTGCCCAGTCTGTACTTCGTCAGTCGACCTAAGCGACCTGGCGGTCACGACTGACAGATGTTTGCCGATCTGCCCCTCTGAGTTTATGGCCTCCTGCCATAAGGGCAAAAACGAAGCGCTAGGCGTCGAAGTCGGCAAGGACAGCCCCAGCGATGGCGACATTGGCAGAACGCTTTGGCGTCGGTGTTGATAGAGCCGGTAGCCCGTGTCGACAACGAAACGGTTACCACGCCGACGACGTTGGACAGGCGAGGCGTACACCAAATCCACGTCACCCCCGCGGCGGAAGTTGTCGTGCAGGACATCTCAGCCGCCTATGGCTTCCAAGTGCCGCTGAGCAACCCCTTCGCGTGCCCCATCTCTAGGTTCCGCACAACGAGCGGGCTGGTAGCCACCAGCAGAGCCAGAAGCGGCACTCAGCGAGCAATTCACGTCTTCGGCCTGAATCTTAGGGGACCCTTGTGACTAACGTCTGCCACGCCTAAGCGTTATTGTCGACGCGATTCAGACACCACAGCCGTTGGACCTCCCGGGCATTAGCCGGCCTCTCAACCTCTCCGGTGTATATCTCCAATTTGTTCACCAAATCGAATGATCAAACCAGCCGATAGCTGTTCGGAAACACAGGGAGTTCCAGGGGAAAGTGCGCATTAGGTCTGCCTTTGTGGTTAGTGTGGCGTGAATTCTTCGCTCCGGTTCAAAGAGTGTGGTTTTTGCTGTTGCAGCACTCATCAGAAGTACGTGTAACTTTCGGCTTTGTTTTCAGGCGTCCAGTCTATCAGATCCAACAACCCAACCCTGTCTTGATTCGTACAATGCATTCTGGTTCTTGTCCTGTGACATTGTCTACTACTGATTAAGAAACATTGGTTCATATGTGATTGACACTAAGACACCCTTGCTGGGCATGTTCGACGAGTTTGATCCCTGCGCCATTACCTCTATCATTAGTAGGACTCTGTGGAGGGCTGTGTGGACGAAGAAAACGACGCGACGCGTTGCCTTAGAACAAAAACGCTGACCTGCGTGACTACCTACTTACCTGCATAAGCTGTCGGCTTTTTCAGTCGTACTCTGTTACGATAGGGGTGTAGCTGGACCCATTGGCCAGCAGATCCATCAAAGGACCAAATGCAATGCGACGAACATACAGGACTAGCGTAACCCGCTTCAGCCATCGGTATCCAGTCGGATAATCCGCACGGCTGCTCAAGCACTCTCCGTGTGATGAAAGATAAGAATCAGCTATGCTTCACTGCAAGAGGCTCTTTGTCAGAAAAGGCGCCCTGTCGTTCGTTGACCAACCAGAGTTCCGCAACGAATAAGTGTATCTTTCTTCCAAAGGGACAGAAGACAGAATCAAAGGGTCGTTTATTGCGGCCGCCAATCTGCTTGGCACGGCGCTATTGGAACAGCACCTGTAGATCAAGCTTGGCTGTTGGAAGGGCCACAAGCGGCACAGGAAATGAACAGTTAACCCCTCGCGCCCCAGACCGACACTCTGGTTGGCCCTCTTAGGGCATGATATATTTATGGATCAGGATATCATACCATTCTAGGCGGGTCTTGACGAGAGTGACTTGCAATGACGGGCCTTGTACGCCCGCAAGCGAGGCTAAGGAGCGCTAAATTGATTTCCAATGCGATTACGGATTGGTTCTTCGAGGGCGTCGCTAACGCCACAGCGCTTGCTGTCCCATGTGGTGTGACCATGCAGAGGCGGAGCCATGCCGGAGGGCCGGTACTCCACCGGCGCGCTCAACTCGCCATGGCTTCCCTCTCTATGGCACTTTTTGGGAGCTGCGGAAAACGAGGCCTACATCTACAAATGATTGCATAGCTAATGAGGCGCTATTGGGTTGTCAGTCCCACACTCTAGTCAATGACGGGCCTGGTACGCCCGCACCCGATGTGAAAGATGCTTTACAGCTGCTATGGTATGTTTCCACAGGCAAATATCCGGAAACGCCCGCTCAGCTACCGACCCCAGTTAAGCCTGACGCGCTGATGCTGCTTGGGCGATCAAAGGATTGTTGGTCTGTAGCCCACTTAAACGTGCAATGTAACCATTCTTCCAAGTAAGAATGGCCTAGACAAGGGGTGTCCCGTTGCTCCATTTTACAGTACGGTATATAAGACTTATCCGCGTAAATTACCTCAGAGTATTCACTGCTATTCAGTCTAAAAAGCTCTTGCGTCTGGTATAAAAGCAAGTCAGTTCCTTGTGTCAAGAACAGAACGCAACGTCTTCCTTGACCAGTATCTATTCTTCATACGAACACATACTACCTTGCGAACAACATTTGCCAAAACATATGAAGACTGTGAGTGTCTCCTTAGATTTCTGTCTTCAACACTGAGTGCGACCCTGAATACGCTTATCTGTTCTAACGAAGCGCATAGACAATGTGTACCGTCACCACCAATTACTACAGCTGCGGCCATGTCCGTGGCTCTCCAACAACCGTTACGTGTGCGAACCCGAGAACTTGCGTCAAAAACTACGTCGATGGAAGTACAAGCTCCTCCAACTGCGGAGCCACTGCATGCAACACTCCTCCGTCATCACTGTAATGCCAACTCTTCAAATCTGGAGGTCATATTAGAGTTGTAGGAAAAGCGAATGGCGAACAGAATTCAGGATTGAGACATAGCAGAAAGGCTGGTGCCATACAGGCAGGCTGAGGCAAAGGGTCAGAAATTGCTTTTACACTGTGTTCTTGAATAAGACCCATGTTGCATAATCCAATATCCACAAACGGCGTTGACAAGTGCAGTCTCTGTAGTACACAACATGGGTCTAAACTAAGAACACAGTAAAGACGCTTCTGGCTTTACTGCGGAGGTCATCGATGAATGTACTTGGTGGGTCTAGGTATGTATCCCGTCATCAAAGGGATCCACACATGTCTGTGCGCAGAATGATTCCTAGTCGCAAAGACGGAAACCAGATTCGACTTCTACTGTACTGTAGTCGTTCCTGCTTCACTCTTGTTGATATCATATGTAGGCGATCGCAAAAGCATGCAATCCTTCCCGAAAACAGACTGCCAGGTGGAGGGCAGGCAGCGTCCAGCTGATGCTCAAATGCACTTGGCCCCAATTGCTTCCTGCAGAGAGTCTGCGGCTAGGGTAATCATGAAACCGTTGCATGTGGACATATAACGGACAACCAGGATCATGAGCCAAGAAAAATGGCGAGTAGGAAACCTGAGCAAATGCCAATAACGACCGACCAACGCGCAGGGCCACACCAAACACGGCGTGCGTAAGCGCGAACAAGAAGCCGCTACCTAATCATGATTGATAACTGCTTGCTGGTATGCAGAAGATTAGTGGCTTGTCACACATCTTTTGTGGATCAAGTATCACTTAGGTATGGCAAATCTCTAGGGTGTGTGGATCGTGCAGGGGTAGGCCTAATAAAATCAGCCACATGCCCAAAAGTATAAGACCGTCCACCTAGCCTTCCAAACAGAGCACTTCCTCATTCGACCATATCACTGAATTTCAGACGGCCAAACCCAAACGTGCTGTCATGGCTCTTGAGCTCTACATCCCGCCCTGCATCAAATCTCCTGCTGGCCATCTGCATACACCTCGTATTGAACAGCCCCTCAGAGTCCAGATCGAAGGTCCGCGAGAATCAATTCAAAAGCTTTTCCCATCTATGGTGTGGGAAACCAGTCTGGTAGCACGGAAATTTCCTCAAATAGCTGGTCCAGCGCTTGCAGCACTGACGTTTCGGCACATTTATGGGATGGACGTCCGTCCTGATGTCCGCGGTGATATGGTCGTGCGGGACGAATACATGGGATGGGTTAGAGAGGATAACAAGACATTAGAGTAAGACCTCATCTTATCCTGATTAGATTGATTGGAGCTTACAAACGTATCTCTTAATAGGGACATTGATTACTATGGTGTGACGTTCGATCATCTAGTTCCCCTTGATGATGTCGATCCCGAAGTATTACAAATCAACATCATTGAGATGGATGATGATCATGGCGAGTATGCGAATAAATACTTGTCATTCTCAGTTAATACATCGGAATACACTGGGAAGAGAGTATTGGCTGTCCCTAGATGCTGCCAGAAACGAAAGGGCACACAAGATCGCCAAAGGGTGAATGAATCGGTCTTGGAAAGGGATGGGCGGTGTTCAAGTTGCTGAGACAAACCCTATGTTGTTGTAATCGACAATTGTTTGGACCTCGAACAAGTGCTTAAAGGCCGAGATGCTCAATTAACTGACAATGATGTTGTAACATGTTTCAATAGCGACAGTAGCGAGCGGGCACTTATATTGGGAACAGGAATCAATTACATAGCTTTTCATGACCTGTAAAGACCTAGCAGGCATTGCCATTCTGCCTATATTCATCAACATAAACACATGCTTGGAGATAGTTTGGAATCTTGGGAAGGATGATAGAAAAGCGCAATGCACAACTTATGATCAGCCAGTCTCCCATACACCTTTGGTGGCTTCGCGCTCGTATGCATATCATCCGCTCTAGAACTCTGACGATCGACATTAAATAGAATCGTAGTAATAATCAAATCGCTAAGCTTTAGATATCTGATACGACAAAGATCGTAATCTAAATGATGTTTTGATAAGCCCGCCAACTTTGGCAAAGTTCGCTCGTCCCTCTTCGCCCGACGTCGCCCGTATCGCCATCCACAGCTGTCTCTTAAGACGAGTGTCGCTCTTAACCATCATTGACGGCACTCGCTTGGGGCGACGCATGGCTGACAAGCGTGCTGCGAGGTTATCGCATGCTGAACAAGCTCTAACGGACGGATACAAGCAAGTTATTTACATATGCTCTTGGTGGTGCGTTGGCCATAGTTGCTCCGAGGGCCATGGGGCTGCCATGGTGCCTACGCCGGTTTGGGCTTTACGACGAGCACACGGCTATCCAATTGACCTTTCGGCGTGTGTTGTGGCGCTGTTTTTGCTCAGATTTCAAAAATTTCGTTCTCGCTTTTGTTGATGTTTTTCTTTCGAGAACATCCCGGCGGTAGCTAATCTTAGCCTGCTCGAAATCCACTACCGCGATACTACTACAACTCACCAGCTCTTCGCAGGTGTGCAGCCGGCAGATCTTTCTCACGCAGACACAGAAGCTCGAGTGAGTTTTCCACGACGCCGCCTGAGGGCCATGCGACAAGTTCATCGACCACCGCGGACATAGCCAGTTCGATATTCCCACGGGATACAGCAGCTACAGACCCGACGTCACGAGTAAGCACTACTTCGGAGAAACCCCGTCTTTTTCTGTCAGCCCGGTTCGCCGATGTTGGCGAAAGGTGAAATTGCCAAAGAGGGCTGGACAAGCCAAGGCCAAAGACGCATATAACGCTACGGTGCAGATGGGCCAAAACACAAGGGTTTTGTCAAGGCTGTCACCCGACTTGCCAGCCGAGGAGAAAATTGACGAGCGACTGTGTGGTGAGGCAGACGTATCCCTCGCTGCTGTGACCGAGACGATAGCAACGATGCTCGATCTTGTGTACGTACTATATGCTGAAGAGTACGGCTGCCCCGGCGAAGATGGACGCCAAATTCTTGGCCGGCGAGAGATCTGGAAGCGTTGCAAGATTGATTGATTTGCAAACGACTGCACCTCAGCTCTCGTCTCGGACGTTTCTTCTCGCCGCCCTGTGCATCTTCCTTGACAATTCCTTGCGTATCTGGTCCGGACTCAGGCCTTGGAGCTCCGGACAGAAAATTATCTCCCTGTGTTTGATGGAGCCACCGTCGTCCTGTACCGAGCAGGACCAGTAACGCAGCTGCCCGCTTCTACTGAGGCATCCGTACACAGCTTGCCGTTGGGCGCCCGAAGATGCTAGCCAGCCGACTTCTGCGTACTCTAGACGCGCACTCTTTCTGCTATTCGGTACTCTTTGTGATGGTTTTCGTTTCGCTTTGTTCTTTTTGGGCAATTTTCGTAAGGATTGCTCTTTGTCGTTCGGCTGTAGTCGGGGACGTTGGTGCTGGTCGGGCCGAACTGCTGCTTTCGGGACTGTGAACTTGTCAGCGCCTGTTCGCTATGCGTACACAACACGTACCTGGCCTTGAATATAAGAAGATCACGTCGTCGTCAGAGTCGTGGCCCAGTGGTGATGTCCTCGTCGTTGCGGATGCCGCGGCTCTTGGAAATGCGTTTGTGGTAGATGCTGATGTGCTCCACGTACTAGACCTCGAGCCTAGACGTATCACATCATCGAGGTTCTCATTCGAACTCAACGCCGTCGTCCTCGTTTCCGATACCATGTCCATCGACTGGGTGTCTGTGGTCTGTGGTCTGTGATGCATGCTGATATGAGGCCGCAATGGGTGCGCCACTCGACGGCTGGTGTATTCGACGGGAGGTTAGAGAAGCTCGGACGACGTTGCCCATCATTCCCGGACCAATCGGGGCAGGCGGGATCAAGTCTCCCTTGCAGCAATTTAGGCCGGTCTGAGAAACACTACAATTCACGCTGTTTCTGGGCGCACGATTACTCATAGGGCATTCATGTAATTGGCCCAAAGTCAATGGCTACATTGCTTGAATGGCTGAGCAAAGGATCAACGTGCCAGCCAATATCAGGAAAGAACATGTTGAATAAAATAGTGTGACAGAGTACCATGTTCGCACTGCACAGGCGAAGCGCAGCGGCATGGATCCGCCTGCAGTGATGCTGCGTCTTAAGATAAGCCTCAGCCCAAAAATCATTCTTCTTAGCTACGCTACGCATACCAATTCAGAGGAACCGTCATACGTCCTTTCCTTGTCTACCAAACGCACACCCTACCGCTTCAATCTCGGCTGCTTACGGCTTGCACCCTCGTCTTCTTCGTCGTCGTCGTCGTCGTCCCGTCGCCGTTTCTTACGATGATCAGAGGTGCCGAAGCACTGCTCGAGCTTTTGGCTCCGCACCAGCTGCTGCACGGTAAACGGCGAGCCGCTGATGTCGCGACCCTCGTCGGCGGTCTCCCATAGGCGAACGGCGAACGACTCCTGCAGACTGGCCACGCGAAACTTCACGTCCAGACGGAAATGGCCATCTGGGAAGGCTGCCGGGTATGACGCAAAATCACAAGCTACTTTATGGCCGCCGACGCGAAAATACGCCTTGCCGCTCGCGAGCTGCCGCATCAACGCCGTCAGGCTCTCGGAGCGAGCGCGCAGCCGGCAACATATCTGCCCGCGGCAGTCGTACCCCCCATCGGAGAACAGGTACGGCCGCGAAGCACGCAGCTCAAAGACGAACAGCTCTGCCCTCGCGCACAACACCAGACGTCTCAGGGCGGGGAGGCCTTCAAAGGTGCACCCATCGTCTTCTTCATCGTCGAAGCTGGACAGGCTGTCCAATGGCGGCTCGGGGCCGTCGAACTCGACATCGAAGCGGAAGAACTCACCGGATCGACCCACCTTCTTCTGTGCGACGACCCGCTGCCAGTCGTTCTTGTTGCGGTTCCGGAACGCTCGCGCCAGGCGGAAGAGGAAGCAGTCCCACCACCCGCCGCCGGACGAGCTCTAGGAGGAGCCAGTGCCCATCGAGGCCAGAAGGCTTGGGTGTGGCGCTTCAGGGAAAAGGGAGGCTACCTCTTGCAGCGCGATCGAGGACGGGTTGTTGGCCACTAGGCCGCCGTCCTGGAAGGTGCCGAGGCCGTCAATAGACCAAGGCGTGAAATAGCTATGGCATTGTTAGCGGCGTTTCGCAGCACTCGGTTGTGGTTATTGTTTGCGCCATCCAATTGTAGGATGGTGAAAATAGAGCGAGACGCAAGAAAAGAAGAGAAAAAATGAAAAAAGAAGGAGAAATGGACAAGGAGAAAAAAATTAAAATGGAATAAAATAAATAGAAAACAAAAAGGGCTGGCACGGACTACGGAGCAGCGGTTGCACATCGGACACTGCAAACCGGATTAGCCATCTAGTCACCGGAAGCCACAGGCCTCCCATAGAATCACGCGGGAAACCACACACATCTCCCACAAAGCCACGCGGCCCCCATCGGTGGTTGTCTTCAAGAGTTCATAATCTATACAGCCCGTTAGCATCGGCTCGCGGACTTCGAATCGCCTCAAAGCTGACGGGGACGAAGACAGGGACGGAGACGGGGAGGCTACCGCGATCGCCGGCCCGCTGGCCCACTCCGTTGTAGCTGGTGAAGATGCATGCGCTTGCGTCCTGCACGGTGGCGACCGTCATGCCAACCATGGCGCCCATCGTATCGGCCGCCGAGTAGTCGGCAAGACTTCTGCCAGAACCGAACATGTCTCGCAAAGCCTTCTCGATGTGCTGCGACGGGTACCTGCTGTCGAAGAGGAGCAAGGCTGCGGCACGCACGACTGTGGCAAGAAAAGGGATCCGCATCATCAGTCGTATGAAAGGACCTATGATGGGAACGGACGGAACCCGGCGAGGCGTGAACGCGTGGTTCGAAAGGGACTCGAAGCGCGCGATGCACTCATCCACCGTCCACCCGTTGATGCAGAGGGCGCCGGCGCTGATGGCACCTGTCGCGATCGGTCAGCCAGGGGAGTCGCCCACATCTGCACCGGCAACAACGACAGCATCCCGCGACGTACCTGAGCTCGTCCCGAAGACGACGTCAAAGTTCTGCTGTACCGGATGGCCGGGCAGCCCGATGTCGTCTTCGAGCTGCTTCAACACCTTGAGGGGGTACTTGCCCCGCGTCCCGCCGCCGTCGATACACAAGACCCGCACCGACGCGGTGTCCGGCTTCACACGTATCTGCATGTCAACGTTTTGTCCGCAGAGGATACACTCGGCGACTTCGATGAGCCACGGGTCGGCCGCACTTGCGACGCCAAATACCTCGACACAGTTTAGACAGTGACCGTGACCGCACGCGGGAAAGACCTGCGGAGCGCGCCGCAGACAAAGGTAGCACGTGCTGTCGGACTTGAGCTGAGCCCAGTCCTCCGCGAAGGCGGCGACAAGCTGTCGATGCAGCGACGCCGAGGCGTGGCCCGTCGTCAGCTGCCGGAACATACGGACCATCTGGGCCTCGACCATCTTGGCGAACTGAGACGGCAGGAGGAAGTCGGTGGACCCTTCTTGCGCGAGGACGGCGGTGCCGCACACGTTGTGGCACACGTCCTTGTAGAACATCTGGAAGACGTCGCGCGGATCGAAGACTGCGGGCCGTCAGTGAGGACAAAAGGTGACGCATGCCTGCGGACGTACGGTGCATTCCCGGAGGGTACTGGTCCAGTATGAAGCTGGAGGCGATGACAGGCACGGCGAATCTCTTCAGGTCGTCGACGGAGTCGCAGTGCGTGAGGAACCCTGCGAGGTGCGCCGGCAGATCCGCCGCCACCGGGTTGTCGAGCCGGGAGACGGCGAGGAAGTCGAAGGGCGGCGCGCCGGCACCGCCGACGTGCTCTGTGGCGTGGCGGAGAAGGCCGGCGAGGTGGGTGGCCGAGAAGAGGCAGCTGGCGAGCACGCGCTCGACCCGTTTTGTCTCCGTCATATAGGACAGCTCATTGCTGAGTATGTCCCAACGCAGGGAATCAAGGCGGCGTCGGAGAGACTTAGGTGTCTTGTCGGCCAGGCTGATGACGCGGACGCCGTGGAATCGTTCGGACACGTTGGCGCTTGTTCGCTTGCGGACGGACTGTAGCAGGCGACTTCGTGCGGAATCCTCTTCGTCGCCGTTCACGACGACCACTAACCAGGGCCGCACCGACGATGTGGACGGCGTACTCAGGTCCAGCCACGACGCAAGACGCTGGGCGACGACCTCTACGCCGCCGATATCGTCGGCAAAGAAACACACGGCATCAGCAAACGGGAGAAGCATGCGATTATAGACATGATCGCCAGCTCCAACCGTTGTGGGCGGCATCGCGGACGGCATCGCGGACGGCATCGCGGACGGCATTGCGGACAGCATGGTGGATGCGGTGCTTCCACCGTGAGAGACCGGTAGTGGCCTTGCTACAACTTCATGGCAGAGCGTAGATTTCCTCGGCCTCCCGAGCCGCTTGTGGGGCGGGATATCGGCATCGGCAATCAGCGTCGGCCTTGCGCCGGACGCGCCGGCCGGGGCGACGGAAAGGTGGATCTCGCCGTGGCCCCGGGTCGTGTTGGGCCTGGTGATGTCCACGCCGAGTCTCTGCATGGCAACCCTCTTGGTCGTATTTCCTATCAGCACGAGCATACTCGGATACTGGCTGTCTGGGCGTGGCAGACTGTCCAGCAGTCTCGGGGCACGATCCGAGCTTTCGACAACGTACGCCTGGTCTTTGGTGGCCACGCGCAGCCAGCCAGTGTGTTTACAACGGGACATGTTGCGCACTGGATCAGGAACAGCCACACCGGGTAGACGAGGCGCGCGCCTGTCTTATAGGCAGTACAGAAGGCAACTCGAAAGCCAAAATGGGCTGGGAGGATGGACTCTAAGCCCGATACCCTGGATGAACCTATAATCGTCTGTGATCCAAATGCCAATACTCTGAAGCCATTTGCGTCCGAATCTTCATTCAAAGTCAAGCGTAGGTCCATCCGGCTTCGCAAGTGAGCTTTCCAACACACATCAAGTGCGGGAAGATCGAATTGGCGCATGCATTCCCTGGCATGACAGCACATATCTTATCCGCTGTCTGTAGTTCTATCTCGGCGCCGTTCGGACAGTGGCCCATCCATGCCCCAGTGCTATAACGTACTCCTATGTAGTTTGCCAAGACCAGACTCAACCGTCAGATCTCCCATTGCACGGACGTTTCCGACGGCGGACTAGAACCACACCATGCTCGTCAACATGGAGCAAACGCTGTCGGGCGCATAATGGAACATGTCATTCACGTCTGTCCAACAAAATTGTTGTCGGCCACAGAGGCAGCTGCAGTAGGGCCAGTGGACGTAGCGCCCACTATCCAGGTTCCAAGCCCATAGCGGATCATGCATGTGCTCCAGGCCGTCTTGCGTCGAAGTACTCGGTGTCGGCGTCGGATACTCGGTGGAGGTACCGCTTTCCGGCTGGCTCCTCTCGGGCGACGTGAAGCCGCCGGCAAATGACCAAAACCCATCTCCGCCGCGATCACTTCCCGACACGTTTCCCGGCGAGGCGTCGTGCAAAGTGGGCGCGCAAGACGGAGGAGGTGATGCGGCGCTGATCCTCCATCTGGATGACCCCTCTGCTTTCTTCCTGCGACTCGCCCGGCGATCCGTTCGGGGCTTACGCGTTGGTTGGAATTCCGTCAATCCTGCCTCAGCGAGCTGCCAGAGGGAGCCTTTCCGTTCCACTCGTTGAAAGGCCTGTGCACCACAGATTACGACTTAGCGGGAAAAACTACACCGTCACATCGCTGACGCAACTCGCTAGCGTACCTTGTTCACGCTCAGGTTCGAGCGAACGCTGAATTTCCATCCTTCGCCTCCTTTGTTGGCTCTCCAGGTGTTTTGCTCAAACCAGTGGTAGAGTTCGCCCAGCCCCATTGCCTTCGTTTCCTTGCTGTGGAGTGCGATGTAGATGAGTTGCGCGAACGTCATCTTCTGCTCGCCTTCGTCCAACCACGTGTTAGCGGTCGCCGATGGTTCGATGGCTGTGCCAGGCAGGCGTGGGAAGGCCAGATCCACGCTGATGGTTTGGTGTGGTGCGCCATGTTGTGCTGGCACAAATTGCGGCTGCAACAGCTGTCTCGTGCTCACGTCCTCATGAGACGTACGGTGGTGCGGTGGTCGAGGGAGTGGAGGAGATTGGCATTCGGAAGGAATGGGGGACGCGCGAACAGGGTCCATCGGATCACGTTGCTTGCTGCTCGACGATGGACGAGCCATGTATTCAGATCAAAGAGTCGAGGCGGATACTGTATGTAGCTACATTCGTGAGCGCCAGTGAGTTCAACAAAGCCATCTATTTGACAAGAGCTCTTATTTCGCGCTCTTATTCGTGAGCCATAGCTTGGTGTTTTTCCCATTTGCCGTCTCCCAGTCGTTGGTAGCATGGCGTCCAGCGCCAGAATGAATTCCTCCCCCAAAGATTGACTGCACCATTTTCGCCATGCCCGTACTGCGAATCAAATGCTGTCGGAGACCCATGACCAAGGGACCAGGAGCGACTACGGATTTTCGGCTCCGTCGGTGGTAGGATCCGAGAGGGTATCTCGCCACCAACGACCTACCCTTACATGCGTCAAACAAGGGAGTTTGGAGCCATCCACGGTGGACAGCCGAATGTAGATGTCGTTGTCTGGGGCTCGCAGAGTACGCCGCAGGAAGTGGCCGATTGTTGCTTCTACGCTGTTGCCGGATCTGTGCTGGGAAACAAGCTACCAGGGCCCAATCGACTTTGCTGTCGACGGCTCTTTCTCAAAAAGAACGCCCGCCGCCGTAGTGGAACGGCCAGAAACGGCTGCGGCTTCAAGCATCTGGGCCGGCCAGGCGCAACGCAGGACGGGCTCCGACCGCATTGCCGCGGGAACATGGCGGGCTTGGGGATTCGTCAATCACCATTCATCCCATCGCACAGCATGCAAGGTACGATCTCAATTTCGAGCGCCCGCAGGGCTAGCGTCATGACGCCTGAGGAGCACTGACAGTCGCTAGCAGTGGGTCGTCTTCAACTTCCCTTTCCACTAATTTGCAGTCTGTCGCTGGTTCGGTGCCAGAGTTGAATTGCGGTAAAGAGACCGCCTGTCGAACCACGTACGAGCAAGGATGTGGGGCCGCAGCTCTACGTGATTGAAGAAGAGACGGGCGAAATCCAGGTGTTCACTGCACCAGAAAGCTACGCGAGATCTCATTGCCCATTGGAAGCACCGCCCACCAAAAGGCCCGGAAGTTTGCACGAAGAAAACATCATCACAACATAAGGCCTCGGCGGCAATACGGCCTGGAAAACTGCAGCTGGAGTATTGGCAGCCTTTTCGATGTAACTTTCGGAACATGCACCATACAGAAATACCCTACTTGATTCATGTACTAAACTCGTCGCTGTGTGAACTACCTCATGACTCCTTGCGCCGCCTTTCAAGTAGCCAGACACCCGTCAGACTCCAACGCCTAATAATGGCAATGTTTCCGTGGACTCTAACTTTGCGTCGCTTTCCTTTCACGGATAACTTGCAGCATCATGCCCGCGAATTAACCCTTCATCATAGCTCATCATAGCTCATCATAGCTCATCATAGATTCCTGAAAGATACTGTCCCACTCTCCCCTTTCTCATGACTTGCTGTTATGTGTTGTTGCTACGCCCAGAATAGGCCGGCGGTGGGAAGGGCGGCACGTCGAGGGCCACGTAGGACTGCCGATCGACCTCCACCGTGGTGGTCACAAGCACGCCGTCACCCGTGTGCTGCGGCCCGGGGCCGCTGTCTCTGCGTATCTGCGTTTTGTGGCGCCTCAGTCTGTCAACAGACCGGGTCCACCTGTGTTTCGGACTGTCCTTGCTGAAAAAGCTCTCCGACGCCGTAGACCGACGTCGGGGCCAGACGCTGACGAGCAGCAGACGCAGACTGGGCAAGCTCGCACACAGCATCGCCGTCGACTGCTCGATGAACGACCACGCCACAATATCGACATGATCCCATGTCTCGTCGAACGTGGTGCTGTACTCCACCAGGTATCTGACCCGGACCGCCGACGTCACGCACGCGCTGTCTGCCGTGTGAGCCTTCTCCTCCCACCCTTCTGCCGGGACGTGAGACCTAACTCACAAGGACCCAATGCTGAACAGCGCGATGACGGCTAAGCGTCGCCGGAGAGAGATCTTGAGCCGCCACACGTAGGGGACCGGCAGGAGCAAGATGGCGATGTCCTCCGCCATGGCGAGTCCGCCACTACTATAGCCCACAGCTTGCAGGTTCAGACATCGGCGGTCGGTGATGGTGCGGTCCCATATTGACTGCACAGGCACGCATTGCGTCGCGAACGGGATGATGAAGAGCGTGCCATGCAGTAGCAGAATGATCTGAAGGCCCTGAGCAATCCTCCGAAAGGTCTCCGACGGGAAAATGCGGCCGAGGAAGAGCACGATCGACAGCTTCACGGCGGCTTGAAGGACGGTGTAGATCAAGTTCCCGACGTACAGCATCTGACTCGGCGTTAGGACGGGGTACCACGAACCACGAACAGCTGGCGGGCCCAGATCACCGAACCTTTCGGATAACGACCCCATTACCAACCGGTATCGTCCAGTAGTGCATGCCGAAGCCGATGCTTGTAATGTGCAGGTAGACCGCGGCCAAGGCGATGAGGAGTGCCTGGCAGACGACATCAGAAAGGATTTCTTGGAGAGTTGGGGTCAGGTACCGCCGCGAGGATGGTCATGTAGTCGTCCCTCCATAGACCACCCGCATACTGTTTGCTCGTGAAAAGACGAAGCGTCACAATGAACAGCACAAGGCTGCAGCTGATGATGAGCGTCCGTCGGACTTCCGTCCTTCGCGATGCTTTGGGATACGCTTCGCACAGGGCTCCCTCCACCGTCGCTGCAGCTTCAGAAGGTCAGATGGGCTTCCAGAGAGGAAACAGCGGGGCCAACTTAGTTGATCGTCAAACGGGCAATTCGTTTGCACACATGTCGAAAGCTCCGATTGGACAGCAATGTCGAGACAGATGCACGTAGTCACGTCTTCGGGATTGCAGGCGGACGTGATGAATGTGCTGCTGATGCACTCAGACTAGATGGTAGATGCTTTAGCGCGACGAAAGCCTGGCTGATGTCACAATCACTCACAGCACACGACGGGACCTGCGAGAGGATCTCGACGGCCGACGCTGCATTCACGGCGGCGACAGCAAGCTGGAGGACCAGCACTGCGAGAGTCCATGATCGATGAGACATTGCATATGAGATGTCGATGAGGAGCGCGGAGATGCTGACACAGACTTTAGCGACGGTGTCACCGGTGTTTCGACGCTGGCCGAGCTGGCATCCTGCAACTGGAGGTCGCTCCGCAGCGGGAGAGATCAATGAAATAGATAGAACGTGTACATACGATACTGTACGAAAAGATACTTCTGGTTCTCGTCGCACGCAGCCGACGAAACTTGCTTCCTGTTGTGAGGCACGAGAATGACAAGAAGCCACTTGCGCCGCTGGTGGGCAGTTTGCGGACGAATGCCTCATCGTACAGTACGCCTCCCCTCCTTCGACGGGAGTTTCGCAGCAATGTTGGGCTCCGTCTCTCCAAGCTTCGTGCTTTGCAGCCTGGCTTAAGGCGGGCGTGGTGCTCTACGGCTCCAAGCAAGCCATCGCCAGCAACAACAAGGTGTTGTGTATGTCATGGTCTCAAAGGTGGAACCCTCGTTGCCCAGTACAGATCACAGGGCATTGTATGCAGAGCACTCCCTGGACGTTTGGCGAATATTGACGCAGGTCGGCGCCTCACACGTAAGCCACACAGAAGTCTGAAGTAATATGAAATCCTTTTTGTAGGATAGTTATGAGCAAAATGTGTAGAATGACCCCCCCATGCGTAACAAACTCAGCAACTACTCTATATCGCCATCATCTTCTTCTGCGCCAGGCCCGTAGCTTTCATCTGAGACGTCTGAACCGCCATAATCGTTGTCTAGCCGCCCTCCTTCCGACATATCTGAGTCTTCGCCGGATTCAACGTCAGAAATGTCAGAACGGTAAGGCTCGCCGCCCTCGCCGTCAAACAGGTCCTCGTCCACGTCACACACTGAGTGCCCACCCGACTCCGACTCCTCGTCGCTGAGCGTGTCGAGAAGTAGCTCGGCCGCATCTGCAGAGCTCATCTGGAAAACGGCCCGTGTCCGGTGCATGGTCGCCTCATGAGTGTCGGGAAACAAGATTCGTACGCAGCAGTACATATATAGCATCTTTCTCGACACCGAATCGTCGCAGAGGTCGAAAGTCGCTGGCAAAGTCCCGGGGTGAACGGTGTCTTCCGGCGCATGGATTTCCCAAATCCGCGCGGAGAACATCAGAACCTGCTCGAGCACTTTGATGGTGATGAGCATGTTTCCAAAGTCAAAGTTCAGTGCCTTGTCAAACTCGAACAACAAGTTGGTCCTGTTGTCCGACGGGCCATCGTCACGTTCCTCGGGCGCTTCGCGGGCTTTCAGGCACGCCAGGAGCGCGGCGACCTTGACGACGAACTCTTTGCCTTGCAGTGGCCCACACAGGCAGCTTATGATGTAGGCGATGAACCGATCTCCGGCGGTGCTGTTCATGTCTTCTTTGACTCTGTTCAGCGGCGGGTACCACGTGTCGTCGGTCAGTCCGTTGTGAGGGCAGTTGACTGCCAGGCAGATAGCGAGGCAGCACCGCTCATCTTGTCTAAGCAGGTTGGTCCTAACTTCCGTTAGCAAGATAATCTTGTGGCAATGTGATAGTGCGCCGCTCACCACATTGAATCCATGGTCTCTTCCGGCGCGTCTGTGGTGATTTGGTAGCCCAGCTCATGCCACCGCCAATGAAGAGATTTATATCATCAGCACTATGGCTCTAGACTGCCTTTGTTTCTGGTCAAGGCACATTGTGCTCTTCGTGCGTGTAAGCCCTTGTCGACATCCGATACCGTCTTCTGAGAAGCGAAGTTCTACGCAACCGGATTTTGCAGAAGCCACCAACAGCTCAGCGGTCAGCTTTTCGCATGAATGGCCATTTCTGTATGGTCTCTGCAATGATGCCGGGACCGTAGAGATAGTCTCAAAGTTCATAACTGTGCTGTGCATACGGCATCCATGCATGGAGTGTGCTATACATACAGAATCAAGACGGAATCATCTGCTGGCTCACGCACCAGTGAAAGCTCTGGCTTTTCGCTCATCGAGTTGACGACGAGAGCAGCCCGAACAAGACCAGACGACCTTGCCATGGCTTACACAAATTACATCTCGTCTACATCTGGCGTAAATTCCGCGGTTGGCAAACGCAGTGTCCGTCCTCACATAAGATGATCCATGTCACGCATTTCGCTCGGCAACCCATCGGCACTCCACCCATTTCGATGGCAAGCCGACATGACGGCCAGACCTTTGAAGCGCCCTCGCGATCAAACGGTCTGCCGCGCCTACCAAGCGACATAGACAACGCAGTCGCGGCCTTGGGCGGGAGAACCCACGCAACCGACCTCGCAAACAGTACCATACAGTCTCAGAAGGCACCAGTCAGTAAGGAACAACGTCTGGAAGAACTTGTGAGAGACTCCGGCCGCCTCAGGCAAGAACTTGACTATTGGAAAAGCTTGGCTCTCACAGGAACCGCCTTGATGTCCGACGTCGAACAAGTTGTGGTACAGCTTCGAGATGTTTTCAGCCGTTTCGAGAGCGTCATGAATGAAACAAATACTATGCCTGCGGAGGAGAGATTGGCCTCTGGCCATCCGTCCGAATCTCGACAGAGGGAAGACGTGGAGGTGCAGATTGGAGATGAGCCAGACTCGCCAGGAGTAGAGGATGACCTCGACGTGCTCTTGGCTCCAGTCAGGCGTGGTCGAGAAGGCTATGACTTTGAGGCCGTCAAGCCGGAGTTGAAGCGGAAGCAGCCACCATACAATCCCGGAGGTTGGCTCTGATATGGAGCGCACATGGTCTCCACCGGGATTCGCCGAGTCCATGTTTATCGTGTGATATCATAGAGAGATATAGAGATTTCATGCCCCTGCACATAACTGTACATATCACCGCTGTCATTAATGTGAATAACTTCTGTCATCAAGAGTTGAAATGGTGTCACGCTGCTGTCTGACATGGCTCAAGCCCTCCAAAGTCGCCGTCTTGAGGCGTCGTAAGTGATCCATTTCTGAAGATCGCCTGAGTGGTGTTTCCAACCTCTTCCCTGTGACTCGCTTCCATCTCTGACAGATAATGCAAATGGAATAGCCAGGTATGTACTGTACATGAACGACTGCTTGCGGTTTTAGGAGAATAAAACGGCTCATTCATAGTAGCACCCGTATCTCGTTGATATTGAAAATCAAGCCTCTTCAAGCCTGTGACTGTTCCAAGCCTGGCTGATCCGCTATTCTCTTCGTCCCATATCCGACTGCGAGACGCTCCAGAATCGTCACCAACCTACCAGAAGAGATACTTCACCGATGAGCCCAAAATGCCCTTCTTAACCAGTTCGCGCGATCAACGCCATCATTCCTGATTGCCGGCTAAACACACTGCCACGCGCCGCACACCTTTTCAGTATATAATACATAAGGGCGACCTCTAATCACGGTCGAGCAAGATCTTAGCTTAGACTCAACCCTCTGCACGTTTTCCCCAAATGCCCAGGTCAGCGAAGGAAGTACTCGATTATGTCGTGAACATCTTCTTCACTGACAATACATGGCATGAAACAGCCGCTAAACTCAAGGCCAATCCCATTTTCTTTGGATCTGACTTTGAGCGACTTGCGCTTGGTGAAGACTGTCACGAGCTTCATCTCGCAGCTGCATCCATGGACTGGACCGGAGATATCCAATACGAAGCCAGGCTGGTCGACTCGCTGAGATGGCCGCGGTTCAACAGCTCTGGGGGCCTCTTGCGCCATCAGGGCCCGGGTCCGCGGTTTACGTTGAACATTCAAGAGGATAGGGATGGTATGGACGACCATACCAGAGTTCGAGCTTATGGTAGCCTGTTCGGCCAGAAGAGTGACGAGTTGACAACTTGCGTACTGTATTATAATAAGGGCCAGGGGTTTCTGGAGTATTTCTACATTCCGCGCCACCAGCTGCCTTGGAAGAAACGATACATGATACCTCTGCAATATTGTTTCTTGCCGAATAGCACGAAGCCCCTCGAATGGGTTGTGGCTGAAGATGTGAACATAAAATAGCATTGAGACGTATCATCGCAGTGCTGGTTGGCACACGAGTTTCTGCTGGAACCGATCGCGCACGGCATCTACCGCCAGCCCTGCGGTATCTGATTGGGTTCTTGTACTGGGTCCTTGTACGGAGTTGTCGCATCTGAGCGGGTAGTAAGATCTGCGAATTAACAGAGACATGCGTCCCATAGAAATTCAACCTTAAAAATTCAACTTCGACTTGCATGGCTGTACCGCATGTCCACCGTCGAGCGAGATGAACTGATAACCTAACAACATATGCAAGCTCATTGAGGCCGAAGTCAAAGGTAGGATACCCGCCGGCTGCGTATTTGCCCTGGACCGTTCGGACGTCCTTGTTGGCGTTGTTTGTCAACGTAGCAAACGGTGAGGGTCTGATGGTAATCAATAAGAACCAGATACCCTTGTGCTTTCGGGTCAGTAAATAGAAATACCTTCAAAATCGTCTTTGCGGCTGCCTGGCCCGCGCAGAGACTAATGGCCATTCCCTATCCAGCGCGCCCAATCAGCCGTGCCGCCTTAGACAAAGCGATAGTGTATTGATTGCTTCCTTCTCGGAGTGGAAGGCGATATCTTGGCAAAGAAGCCTGTTTGTTTGACATCACACATTGAATATCTGTTGTAACAGGGGCTGACCGCACGGAATCATCCCGGCCAGCCGGCTCATCCAAAAGCGGCTGTGATGCAGCATTACCGTCAGGAAGCCCCGCAGCCACGCAGCCAGTTGCAACCCAGATCGCGCTCCAGATGTTGATGAGCGTCGATTCGTGCGCAAGCACCAACCAGTCTCCTGATTCTTACACTCATCTTCGTGTTGGCAGAGCTTCACAATATTCTAGCCACTGGCCAGGTATCATCCCCCCCCATCGCCTACGGCGCTTCCGCTTCGCCGACCCGAATCCTTGTCCGACACGCGGACTCGTGCAAGCTGGCACGAAAATCAACAGCCATCTCCACGGCCGTGACGACCATTGACGACCAGTACTCGGCACCACCTGCGCAAGTTTGGCATGCCTAATTTGGCGAAGAGCAACAGGTGCGCAGTTTGAATCATCGACATAAATAGTGCGGCAATCTCCTCAGTCACGTCCTTCACATCCTGCTTCAGCACAGTCCAACACCCAACAACATACTCAGCAAACCCTCCGATAGCAATGCCTTCTCGAACCTCCATACAGTATCTGTTGGCGCCCATTGCGGCCACGCCGACACTTTGTGACGAGACGGAGGCTTTTCAAGAAGATATCGTCGGACCGCACACCCCGCCCGCATTGCTATGTCACCGTCGATAGGTATCCAGTGCCAACAAGCAGACATGGAATCTTATCTGATACCACAGGCCATGCCACGTCGGCGTGCTCGTTATTATCGCCTGCAAAGCTGACGTCCTCTGGGCAACCGACCTTCAACGATATGGTCTCGGTATATACACGGCAGTCCTCAGACGTCACGTCCTCGAGTATGGCTCTCCAGGAACAGATGTTCAGCGGATATCACAATGTGGGCTCCGCTGGCATTTCGGCCCAGATGTGTCCTATCTGTTTGCATACTGCGTTTATGAAGTAAGTATCTCCAAACGCCGTGAAGTAGTGAATGGTCGCTGATTAGCCCAAGTCCTTGTTTTCTGCGGTCCATGTGCGGTCAACAATGCTTCGACGTCTCTGGCTCAGCAGTCTACGATCCAGCCTTTCTTTATGCGGCTCACGATTGCTACTGTGGATGGTATGCTGGGTGCGGAATCTGTGTGTTCAAGCCAGTGGAGCATAGCATACCGAGCGGCTCTTGTACGGAGAGCTCACATCTCCAAACCGGGTTCACTGATGGATATCTGACAAACGCGGCTGATTCGTCTCACGCTATCTATGATGAGCCGCTCTCCCCGTGGGTCTATGATCTTGATGGCCGGCCTATCTCGCAACAGGGCTTTGTTCTTGGAAACGTCGACGACGGAGGTGTTATTGGGGAGAACGTTAGACCTACTACTCTTCCAGTATCGGTTTTTCCCGAGCAGATAACGGCATGGAAAGATTGAGAGGCCTCATCTTTCTTACTTTATTTCTTTTCACGTCCGGTCCTGTGCCGTTTTGTATCATAGCTGGTGGCATTTCGAATTTAGGATAGGATGAATGCAGAGAAAGAGTTGAGTTATGCGCGAGCGGGGATGCGGAAAGCCCATCTCTCCCACTCAGAGCCACCGACTGGACTGTACCGACGTGATCTCCAGGCTATGAGCCCGCAGGTCGTGGTGTTCTTCATCTACATGTAGTATCCAGACTCAAAATACATCACAAATCGGGGATAGGGTCACTTTTCCACGATCGGCCTGTTACATGCATTATCAGGTGGTTCTCAACTCGTTTCAATCATAGACTCTTGATTCTTCTTCACGTTCTTCTTGAGTCAATACAAGCCTCTTGTTCCCACTTCCTATTACCCCATTGGTGCCTGCCACAACTCATGGCAACATGACACATGACATCAGTGTTTACACTAATGTTCCCATCCTCTATCCCGCGCTCGGAGCCGTGCTCTCGTCTCCCTTGATAACTCTCTTGAAAAATCAGAACTTCTCCAACATGCTTCCTATCAGAGAACGACCAGCCGCCGTGCCGTCTAAGTCCACACGACGGATAAATTGAAGAGGCTCCACAGCCGGCGTACTGGCTTCAGTGGAGTCTTCCCATTCTGTCATTTCGTCCGCTTCGATGATGGTGCATGTATCGAGACTGCGACTGGAAGCATCCTGCTCAATCTTTGCTCTGGCAGATTTCTTGGGACGCCCTGTTTGACGTTGCTTGTTGCAGAATGCGGCGTTTGAAGCTTGGCGAGCCCCTGCCGCAGATTGACGAGATAACGGTCGGTCGCTGTTGGTGGTGTGGGGTTGGATTTGCTTCGTTCGTCCCTTCGAGACAAGCGGGGGGCGGAACGTCACTTGAGGGCCAGTCATGGGAGGCGCCGGTCGAGCTCGCTCCATGTGGGGCGACATGGAAGAAACCCATTCACTCACGACGTCGAATGAACGCAAAGACTCTGGGGACATTTTGGTTGGCTGGCAACGCCTCGGAAGTGAAAATGCTGTTTTCGGACAGTATCTCAATGGAACACTAGAACGCCAATTTCCAGCTCATATGTACAGAATCTCCTTTTGGGAGCTCGCGTCGAAGCAGTTGTTGAATCAGCGGATCCTTCCATGATCCAGAAGCCGCTCTTCGGTCTGGGAGGGGGTGGGGGGTGTAATTAACAGAGAGCTCCTTCTGGCTTTGCTCATCGGTGCACCCCTGTTCATTTTACAGTCAGATCGTCACCCTACTGCGGTAGAATCGCAAGAGGCAATGCACCATATCCGGTCGCTCCACTTGACGGCACAAGCTGATCCATGGCCCAGAGCGACAGAAGTTTGCTCCCTCGTTCGATCTAGATCTCTGCCGTTAAGTCTGCACCTGTCGGCCGCAAACCAACGAGCGGCGTGATTGAACCCCCTTTTCGCCGACCTCGTCCGGTCCACTCATTGTGTCGGTAGCCACTCTCAAGGCCTGGCGTGCACTGGCAACTCTCGTCGTGGTCGGCCATCAATTGGCCGTAGCTGAAGAGGTCCTCTTCTGCTTCCCACGTCGGACAGGCGTAGCCGTCCCACTTGACGGCGTACAGATTGATGCCATCATCCGTCTCGTAGCAGCCCACGATACACTGAAGACGGGGCGCCCAAGACGCGTTGCTTGGCCGCGGTCGCTCGACGCATTCTTGCCATACCTTGATGTACTCTCCGTCTTCGAAGACCCATAAAAGTTGATAATCGCCCAGCCAATCCCACTCGAGGGGGTTACGGATCCCCACGACCACACCATGGAACATGTGAGCGCCACTGGTGGCGGTGCAGATGACTTCGACTACCTCGAGGCACGAGGACCAGGCTGCGTGGACCGTCGAACCTCGCCGCACTGTCATTTTGACGCGGATATATCTTTGAGTGAGGTAGGTTAATGTGCATATAGCGTTCTCCTTAGGGAAGCGAACCTCTTGGAGATTGATGATGAGAAGGCTACGTTGTTCTGTAGGCATTGGCTATCGTCAGATAGATGGTCTGAATTTAAACAGCTACGTAGGCGGATACACGTCCACTGATGTCACGCAGCCGTATTCGCATGTGGTACATTCTCGGAGTCAGAGATGTCTGCTCTCTTCACCGACCCACGTTCTAGTTTGGGCCCCAAGTCCGAACTACTGCCAACA